ATTTCCTTCATTAAGTAGTAGATAATAACAACAATAAACAAACACATAGAGACAGAGATTGGATTGGTGGTTACCAGAGGGGAAGGGGGCAGGGAAGAGGGCGAAAGGGATAATTCAGCACATGTGTGTGGTGATGGGTTGTAATTAGTATTTTGGTGCTGAACATGATGTAATCTATGCAGAAATAGAAGTGTAATGATGTACACCTGAAATTTATAGAATGTTATGAATCAATGTTACTGCAATAAACAACAACAACAACAACAAAATAAAAACCACTAATGAAGGCCTAAAAAAAGAGAAAGGAGGAGAATTTAATGCATAGAAGCCATTACCCAAATGAAGGAGAGCTGGGAGGAGCAGGTGCAGGGAGCTACAGTTCCATGCAGAGCAGGCAATGCTCCTGGAGCTGAGGGTTCCAGGTGACCCTACAAAATCTGGAATCATGTCTGGCAGGAACTCGAGTCATGAGGCAGATACAGTTGTCTGGGTCTTGGATGTGAAGGAAGGTTGAGAAATAGCCCGGCCAGCTCACAGGGGCAAATGGGAAAGGCAGCCTTAGGGGTCAGCCCTTTCCATCAAGCACAGCTTGGGGGATGGATATGACCATAAAAGGACCAAGGAGCAGGGCTGTGAGGAATGGGGACAGGGAGCCACTAGAGATGGAAAAGCTGAGAAAAGAGAGGAAGAGATATCCAGAGAGTAAGAGAGAGAGAGATCCACAGAAGCACACACACAGAGAAAAAGACCAGAAAGATACAGGTATGGAGGGTGGCTGGTGTTAGTCATTTCTCAGGAACAGTATTTTTGGCCTCTTGTTTAATGCTGAGTATCAAAACATGTATTCTTTGCAGCCCTCAGAAATGGGTGAGTAATTTTAATTCACTCATAAAGTGGAAGCTTTTGGTCCAGCTTAGCAAGGGGATTGTCTCCCTAGACTTCTTAACTGGGGTGATCCCTGGGCTTCATCCTTTAACCTCTACAGTCTGCAAGGCCATGAAAATAAAAGTTAATTCATCACCATCAAGGTGAGAGCCAGGTCAGCATTCAGCTTGACTGTGGGGAACCTCATCTTCCTTTAATTTTTGATTCCATAGTCTTCACTTAGTTTTCACTGCTTTGAGGCATTTAAGAAGACCTTTAAAATATTGTATTAAGCAGTTTTCATTTTTTAAATAATTATTGTATTTTAAGATGGAGTGTTGGTCCATAGATTTAGTCTGATATTTTGACAGAAAATCTAGGATATTTATTGTTTACTTTTTAAGAATTCCAAGGATAGGCCATCCCAGGGTTGGTTTAGCAATTCAAGAACCTTCTAAGAACACTGAATCTTGTATTCTTCCACCTCAGTTTGCTCAGTATTTCCCCCGTTGTGGTCAAGCTTCTTGCCTCATGGTTGCAAGACAGCTGCTGCAGCTCCAAATATCACATCATCATGATATAGCTGCCAATGAAGGACAGCAGTAAAAGGGGAAATGACCTTATGAGACGCTCTGTTATTAAGGGAGAAATATGATTTCCAGAAACCGTGGTATACTCTGTTTTAAGTATTGTTGTTCATACACGGTCATGTACCCCGTTCTGGACCAATCACTGCAAATGGGATTGCTAGATTGCCTTAACCCAAACTTCATCCTCTTGGCCCCAAACATGGAACATAGCCACTCGAACAGAACCAGGTTTCAGTTACTAAGGAAAAAGTGAGCAATGGCTGCTGTGTAGATCACCACCAATGCCTGCTACAGCGACCCCTGGGAGGAGCAGCTCTTTTCTGTCCTCAGAGGCAGTGGACATGAGTACCAACAATGGAAGTTTGGGTCCTACTGGGCTCCGTGATGCACAAACGCCTTCCCCATCCCTATCCTGCTCTTTGTTTCTGCACCCAGCTGGGTCCCACATCTGGCCCCAACCCCAAGGTCTGTCTCCTGATCATTCCATCCCTTTAGGATTGCATGTATGCGGATGGGCCACCCTATGCTTTCCCAATTCCACTGCCACTGGGGGAAGATGGAAAGAGAATTCATGTTAGTAGGATATTTTTAATGCATTAAATATCCTGCTGGGAATTTAACATTTATTGTGATATTAAATGCTTGGTGAGGATGTTAGGCTTTCCATTTTAAATATGAGGAAACATCAGCATAAAGTGGTGCAACGCCTTGTTCAAGAACAGAATGTGAGTTTGTGGAGTTTGGACTGACATTCAAGTCAGTTCGTGCACAAATCTATGTTCTACCTTGTCCCATAGATTGAGAATGAGGTTCACACCTCAAGGCATTCATGGAGAGATGAGTTGAGCCTCATCTGAGCATGGAGGGGAAGAAAACATCTTTTTGGAAGCCAAGCCTCTCCCCCGTTTCATTAGCAGGAATTGTGGAGAGGACACGGGAGAGAGCACTTCCCCTTTTCGTGAGGCCGTTGATGTAGAAACCCCATGACAGGGCCCCCCGGCCAGCACATCCTGTCCCCTTGTGTCTGCTGTAGGCTCTATCCTTCCTCCCATTGGCTCCAGGACGGCACAGGCTCGTGGCCTGGGCCATGTCTCCCCATCGCACCAGCCTCCTGGGCCTCGGTGAGTCCTGGAATGGGGGGGCTGGATTCCAGGCACAGAGGGAGTGGGAGCCTTGGGGAGGGGGTCTGCTTTCCTGCTCAGTCCTGACTCTGGTCCAGGAGACTCTGGGACCCTGGGGGAGAAGGTGGTCCTCCCCACCCCCTGGAGTCTTCCTCCCTCAGCTTTGGCCCAGACCTCAAGTCTGACCACAGAAGATTCAGTCCTAGAAGTGGGTACCCAGGTGTGGAGATGAGTTCAGACTCTGAGAAGGGCTGGAAGAGAGGAGTATCTATTTGGAAGAGGGGATGGGGGATTTGTCTTGAGACTATTTCAGAGCAAGAAGAAAGATTGCACTCAGATGTCATGTTGAGGAGGGGTGGTTTGGAAATTATAAGAGGCTGACCCCCCTGGCTCGCTCAAATCCCCTTGATAGCAGCCCTGGGAGGAAACGGGGTGGTGGACGTTTTTCTCACTACGATTTCTCTTCCAGTGCTCTGTCTGAGCCAGATGACCCACGTGCAGGATGGTGAGTCTCCTCCGCAATCCCTCCGCACCCCAAAGGCAGCTCTAGATGGGAGTGGTCCTGATCCTGGGAGGGCCTGGGGGAAGGCCCTGCAATATGCCCTCAATTGCAAACAACCCCAATCTCTCCCTGTTCTCCACCTGTGCTCTGACAGCCCCACAAAGACTATTCAAATCTGTGAGCTCTCCCCACACAAGCCTAGACCTTCCTCAGCATTCCCCGGGCAGAGAACACAACGGTCGCCAAGGGCAGAATCTGAGAATTCATCCTTGATCCCATCTTCTTCATCCTGCTATAGTCAACATATCACCCAGGGATATGATTTTCAAATGATAATTTTAAAGTTTTGTTTGCATTTTTTCATATATTTTCAGGCAAAATATTAATTTTTTAGAGTCCTCCCACAGTTTATCTGCAGATAGAATGAGAGCCCTGCATCTCTCTTGGTCTGAATCTGTCTGTCCCCACGCCCTCTGGTTCCCTTATCTCCAGAAACTTCACCTTTCTTTCACTTTCTCAAACACGCCACATTTCCACTCAGCTCTGGACCTCCTGACATGCTGATTCCTCCAGGTTGAATGCCCTGGCGTCCCCTATCGCTCAGCTCGGGTAATTCATGTTGACCCTCCCATCTCAGTTTAGATGCCTCCTCCAACTGCCCAGATGAGGTCAGCCCTGCCTCCCATCTGCTCCCCTAGGTTCCCACACTCACCCCCAGGGCACACATCACAGTTTGTAGCTGCAGATTTCCGCAATTATTCGATCAACATCTGTCCTTCCTCTAGATTTTCACCCATGAGAAAGCGGAGATCATGTGTGTGTTTCTCATATTTGTTGAACTACTGGCAAGTGGAGGCGTCTGTAAGAGGACAGATAGGAACTAAGACTTGGATGAAAGAAAGAAAGAATGGGCGAATGAATGATTGATAAACCTCTGCCAGCTCCCTGCCTCTATCACCGATTTTGCTAATTTTGACGTCACCTTCCTGTTTCAGGGCTACAAACACTCTCTTCCCCTTGCCCCAGATTAGTTGAGACAGATGGGGTTTTCCACCAGCCTCAATAACAGGAAATGGAAGTAAGGCTGAGAGGAGGGTAGAAAATACAGAGAAAACTCAGAGAGGAGCGCTTCACAGAGGACTTACATTGGAGACAGGAATCCGCATCCACTGGGGGCTGTGTGACCAGATCTGTGCTGGGGCTCTGCCACACCCCCACTGGACCTTCACTGGAACCTTCATACTGTGCTCCCGGTCCCCCACAATCCCACCTGGGACTGATCAGCTGTCCTTCAGACCCGGCCAGATCATTCCTACCTACTCCAGACTCTGGCTTCCCTTGTCCCCACAAATGACCTGGTCATTCCCATCCTCTGCCTCCATCCCAGCCCTCTCTGTCCCCCTAGAAAGTGGTCATGCACAGGGAGGGAGGGCTCTGCAGCAGAGATGCCGGCCCACAGCCTGCTCTGACACTTCCCGGGTCACCCTAAGCAAGATGGGACCAAGTCTCGGATCCTTACATCAAGTGGGGAAGATAACACTACAGTGATGAGAATTCACATGCAGGGAGAATGGACATGGAGGTGTCTTTTGTGAGGATGTTGGAATGTTCTGAAACTGGCTTGTGGTGATGGTTGCACAACTCTGCATTTGCGAAAAAAATTGAAGTGTACACTTAAAGTGGGTGAATTGTGTGACATGGTGATTTCCTCACAAGTGGATCTTGAGATCCTGCTCTGCTTCCCTCCAGGGGCCCTGCCTACACCCTCCATCTCTGCTGAGCCAGGCCCTGTGATCCCTCGAGGGCAGCCTGTGACCATCGTGTGTCGGGGCCCTGATGGGGCTAAGTCATTCCGCCTGGAGAAGGAGGATAGACGCTCCTACAGGGATCAGCACACAGTGTCCCAACTTGATCCACATGGGACAGAGGCCAGATTCCCCATCACTGCAGTGAGTGACGACTCTGCTGGGCGTTATCGCTGCCTCTATCATGGAAAGTTCAGCTGGTCTAAGCACAGTAACATTCTGGAGCTGGAGGTGACAGAGGAGGACGTCTCCACTCTGCCCTCAGGTTTGTCCCCAGGACCCTGGATCCTGTCCCCAGTTGGACCTCTGTCCACAGGCTACCCTCCCCTCCTGCTAACCTCCCTTTCCCCCTCTGCACATGTGTCCCTCTGCCTTCACACTCAGCTCATATACCTGGAGCCCTGGTCCCATCTGGACACCACAATGGCCTGGACACTCAGCCTTATCATTGGGGTGGGCACGGAGCTGGCCCTGTTAGGCTGGGTGGGGAATGAGCTTCCAAAGACTGGGTGCAGGACAGATCCGCTTCAAGAGAATGTGTGTTTTTTCTCAGAATGGTGTTAAACCATGCTTTCCACTTGATCAGCATCTGTGGGACCCCAGGGCCCCATGTGTCCCCTGTGGTGTGGTCCATCCTCCATTGGGCAAGTCACATGGTCCAGGGCACCCTGACCTGGGCTGGATGGTGCTTTGGGGAACCTTTGGGATGAGGCTGTCCCTGTCCCTGTGTGTGGTCAGCTCCCGTGACGTCCTGGACTCAGGGTCCATCAGGGACACTCAGATCCTCCTCCATGTCTTCCTGGGGCCTCAGAGGAGCTGCTCTGTGCCAGTTCCATGAGGTCAAGGAGAGCACAGTGTGTGAGGAGCAGAACAGTGACCACCCCCAGAGAGTGGAGCAGGAGGGCTCTCCCTTGTCTCCTGTGCCCCTGCCCCATTTCCTCGGGAATCGCAGCATGTTGTCTGGGACTGATGATGAGTGTCTGGGGATGGATGCTCAGGGTAGAGAGGGGCCAGGCTGAGTGGTACATCAGCCCTTCTCCTGCCTCTGTCACAGGAGCCCCTGGAGATGTCAGTTCCCAGCCCACACAGCCCTCAGCTGGAGAGTAGAGACCTCAGCCTGGAGGGGTTTCTGCGGGGCTCTGTGCTGGGGATCAGGCTCCACGGCCCAACTCCCTGCCGTGGGCTTGGATTAGGGAGTGGTAGGACCATAGCAAGGGGCTGACACCTGCAGGGCACTGGGGTGTCATCAATATTCATAATGACCATGATTGAACAAACCCCATGCCAGGCTCTGTGAAAGCAGTTATTGCCAACCACAGCCCAATGTGGGAGGTGCTCCCCTCATCTTCTAAGAGCCCCCCCCTTTTAATATATAGAAACAAAGTTAAAATTTCTTGCCACAGGAACAAGGCTCTGAAGGGGCAGGGTAGCCCAGGGCAGCCAGACCCCAGACCTCAAGGTTTGGCCGCAGCTCTGCACTGTCCCCTTGTGGTCAGGGTCCTACTGTTGGCCCGGCTCTGCAAAACACAGAGGGACAGAGGGACAGAGGGACTGATAGCTCACCTTGCAAAATCAGATACTATGGGAGAGAATGTGATCTGTTGATAGTTACGGCCGAACAACGATGTAAGATCATCAAGAGGAAGAGAGATCTCTTCTCAGAGAGCTCTGACTCTGCTGGGATGGGGGGCACAGAGCAAATGTCTCTTTCTGTCTGTGTCTGTCTCTTTCCCCCTGTCCTTCTCTCTCTCTCTCCCATTTTTCATGTGGTGAAGACTAAAGATTCAGGGCAGAATCCCAATGGCCAGACTGCAGGGTTCAGGGTTAAGATTCCAGCCCTGCCAGTCCCCAGCTCTATGCCCACAGGTGAACCGCCAACATCTTCTATGTCCTAGTTTTCTCCTGTGCAAAATGTGCAATAAATGCACGGACTGCAGTGCTGTTTAGAGGATGCAGGAGTACACATACCCAGGGCACGGGGCTTAAATCAGTGCCTGCCGAATGGGACAGTCGGAAGAAGTGCTGCTCGTGTTAACATGGAGCAAATATTTTCTTCTCACTTCATATGTGCCACACACCGACCTAATGCGGGACTGATGCACGTGGTGGAGGAAGAGAAATGGTCCCGCTTCCCAAACTTTGCTGGGGAGAATTAATTAGAAAGCACGAAAGAAATGCACATACGTACACATGTGCTTACGTAAATATATAATTTACAATGTAAAATTTCAGATCTATAATTTATATTCAAGTATGTATTTACATTATATATTAAATATATAAGTAGTATAACAAAACACAATATATTATTAAAATGAGTATAGAATGTAATATATATTATATAATGATATACAGTATATTATGTATTACTAAAATTAATATATATGTAAATGTTAACATAAAGATGTACCATGTATTATATAATAAATATGTATAATTTATATATTATATATAACATATAGTATAAGTACTTTTAAATTATATATAATTTAAAATATTTATACAATTTAAATTTACATATATACATTAAATCGCATAATTTTAAATATATATTTAT